CGAAAAAATATACTTTCGAAAATTTCGAAATATAAAAACGAAAAAGATTTAAATTTCAAAAACCGAAGGTTTTTCGACATTTGAGATTTTTCTAGTATTTTGAAGATTTTTCATTCAAAAATCAATACTTTCAAGCTAAAATGTAGATATTCGTGATCAGCGTCGAATTCTGCATCGAATGATACATAATAAATTAGAAAAAATCTTGCTCGAATTTTGAATTATATGAATAAAAAATTTAAGGACTATCAGCATCTCAGTGTGTGAATACATATAACTAAAAATCATAAGAAATCTATATGGTGACCTAAACTATTCAGAAAATAATAGAGAATTCCCAATTGATCGTTACCTAGATGGTGATGTGACCTAAACTGGTCAGAAAATAACAGAATTCTCAATCGATTCTGACTTGAACTAGTGAGAGAAAGAAATATACATTGTAATTCTATATCCATGATGAAGACATGTTGCATACTGAAATAGTAAAGAATAACTCAATTCGCCGAAACGTTCGGCTATAACGTCGTCTGAAAAGGTGACAAAACGCAAAAGTGACTATGTGAATAAGTGATAATTTTACTCACTCATCTTATTTGTAACATCCCTATTATCCTTTAATCGATTAAAGTAATCGTGCTTATTGGCGTGGTGTAACCGTAGTGTACGTCAGATCATATAAATATGGAAAAGATATAAACCTTTTTTTATATACAGAGCGTATCACTAGGGTCACACTGCAGCCTTAATCATGATTAACTATTAAAAAGTTGATAGCATTGACATGATTAATTATTAAAAATAATGAAGAAACCTAACATGTCCAACTTTCAAGCTCACAATATAATTTCTTTGCGTTTGTGGTTAGAGATAAGGAACGGAAGAAAAGTAAGTGAGCCATTTTGTAGAATTTTGAAAGCTCTATCTTCCTAGTGTGTTTCAAAATCTTGGGAGCAAAACTCACTAAATTTTCTTTTGTTTTTTCGTATGTTTCAAAAAACACCAAGTTCAAACGATGATTTTGGCTTCTCGGAAAATCGACGTAATTCGACCGAAATGCAACCGTTTAAGCCAAATTCTTTTTTCTTTGAAATCTCATGAGTTGCACTACGAGAATCCATGCTTAAGTCATACAAAAAGTACTTTTTTCCTCCAGGTTTAAACGTCAAGACGAAAACCATCAGTTTTCGACCTGGCAAGCAAAAAATAGATTTGACTTCACTGGTTTTAAGCGAAACGTCTATTCTTTTATACGATCGGAAAGAGCACAGTTTTTTGTACAGTGATTCATAATTTAATGTTTTTTCAGTTTTCAGATGAACTTTACTCCAGAAAAAGATGGTAAAACAGTTTATGTATTTGAACTTGAGAATTAGACACGTTGGGCTTCTTCATTAGTTTTACAATAACTTTTTTCATTTTGAGCTTAGAACAAAAACCTTTTATGGTTTGATAGAGAATTGAACGATGAATCTTTAAAAAAGAACTATTCGATTCGATCAAACTGACGTGTTATTGAGGAAATACAAAATACCCATTCTTCATGGCACACCTGTTACAAGAATAAAAGTTCGTATATTCTAGTAAAACAAAGATAATCTTTAATTACAATCTTCAGTGTACATTCTATTCAAACCATCATAAAGTACGGCATATAAAAATTAAGACATATCATCATAAATCATAAGATCAAAGAAATTAAAATTATTTATTCTTGTATGTGAGATACAAACAAAAACAAAAATGCAGAGATATCTTGAATAGGTTTGAGCAAAATTCGTCACATGAATTGAGAAGAAAGAACAAAACAATAAATATCTGACACACAAGTAAGGTGTCCGAAAATATTTAAGCGCAATTTATTATTTTTGTACATGGTTATAGAGCTCGTCGAGCTGAATCAGAATATGTGTGCCTTAAACTTTGAAAAAACCTTTTAAGGATAAAAAAGCTAAAATTTTTTAAAACCTGAAGAATGGCCTAAAAGTTAAAAATCAGCAAAAATGTCTTAGTTAATGGTTTTTGATAAGTCCACGCATATGCCCGAGAATACGAGTCCAATTTCATTGTTTTTTCACTGATTTCGGAAAACCTGAATTTCTCGGGACCGAAACAAAATTTGCCAAAAAAGGGTATCCAACTTTTTTCGTGCAGACAGAGCGAGCTTCATCTCTTATCTAAAAAGACTTGATGCTTTTTGCCAGATAGGGAAGCGGGATTCTCGTTTTCGATGAAAAACCCAAAAATCTTTTGGGTCATGTGATATTTGAATGGTGTTAAAACTATATTTTTTGATTTAGTTTTTCACGTACAACAAGAATAAAAATGTTTCAAACTTATCAGAAACCATTAACTTAGTACACTGGATGTACACCAAAGATTGTAATTAAAGTTTATTTTTGTTTTACTAGAATATACAAACTTTTATTCTCGTAAGCAAAATTTTAGTTTGTACGTTGACGTTTTCCTCATTTTTCGGATAGTAAAAAGTTTTTTTTCTAAAATCTTAAGATCAACGTGAAAACTTTGGGTCACTCTATCACTCATAATCCACTCATTTTTCGACCAAAACGGCTATTGAATGTGATGGATAATGACTCGAAGTAAAACGTTGCTGCAGAGTTTTAAAACAAAAAAATATTCTCTCAGTTAAACAATGAATGAGAGAAAAGATTGTTTGATATTTCAGAGTTAATAAAGAAAAACTAGTAAGTTACAATGAATCATCTAACATCTAATCTGAAGCCGTCCCTCACACGAAGATATTACATCAAATATAAGTTAATAAAATACTTTTTACTATTATGTAATATCTGCGCTCATAGACCATGTTTAGAACCACGCTACATCTATTGAACTGCAAAGACATTGCATAAAATCGTATTCAACGAACAATCAGAAAGGAAAGAAAAATGTTATCGATGGCGGCCATTTTTGGCATGGTACGAGGAGTGACGACTAAGTGCATCCGCTATAGTGTTACTAAAACATATAGGATATTCAAAATTCGAACTGAAATTTATTGGATGAAAACTTTAGATATAAATTAGCTTCAAATAATATTTCATTCCCCCATATTTTTTTGTTATGCTCAAGCGTAGCTACTGAGATCTCCGATGAGGCTGTCACTAACAGACTGTGCTGGAGATTCATCGTGCGGCGCCCTCATCAGAGATCTCAGTAGCTACGCTTGAGCATAACAAAAAAATATGTAGAAATGAAATGTTATTTGAAGCTAATTTAAATCTAAAGTTTTTATCCAATAAATTTCAGTTCGAGTTTTGAATATCCTATATGTTTTAGTGACACTATAGCGGATGCACTTAGTCAACAGTCCTCATACCAGCATGAGCAGGTAACTTCTTACAAGCTAAGTTCGACACTTATGTATTTGGGCATGTACACAAATGTGACAGGAGCTGAAGACCTTCGAGGTTATTTGAAAAAGAAAATTTTTTTAGAGCTCGATGAGATCCATCTGTTTTGATATAAAATAGAAAAACTTTTCGGAGAGTTTTTGAGATACATAAGCCCAAACTTTCCGAATTCTCCCACTAAATCGATCACTGTTCAAAAACGCCGATAGCTATAGACCTAATTCTTCCATCATTTTACTTAGCTTATATGCCTCCATATTTTCATCTACGGTAGTCAAGACTTTTATTTGGGTTTGAGAGAAAAATCCTAAAAGTGTCCCTAAAACTTTGGACCTCTAGAAAACCATGTTCCACATGTTTTTTTGAAAAACGAGTTTAATGTTCTAGAGCTAACTTTTTATGCTCTACACTTTGCGCATATTGAAATCTTTGCGGCTCGTGGATCATGTAATGGTGGGCGGACCTGAATGGAAGTACCCAGCGTCGATTGTTGTCTCATGTAATTTTTGCTTATACCGTGTCTGAAATAACATTTTTCTCTGAAAATTGTTTTCTTTGCTAAGGAAGTTTGGGAGGAAAAATGTTAATATTAATGATCATACGGTATAATTATAAGCTATATGCCAAACACTGATTTGACTAAGAGACAGGAAGAATAGTCTTGTCAAATCCCCAACTAGTATCTGATGGAACAAGTGACAGACTGAAATCTTTTTTTGATGCACAGACTGTAGTACAAAAGAGATAGATTCATATTTTAGACAAACAGGTTTACAACTCTTTTCCATAAATGATATGTCTTGTGCATTATTCAACCTGAAAGCAGTAGCATCTCTAGACAACTTTTTCTGTCATGAGATGTACATATATCTCAAATATATCTCTATTGACATTTGCTTCACATTTGTCATGTTTTTTTTCTGGGTAGAAGAAAAAGAGGAAAGAGAACAGTTATAGTCCATTTTGTCCTTCTACTAACAGTTCTCATTCGTCTTTTTGTTCTACACAGAAAGAAAACGTGACAAAGGTGAAGCAAAGGTCAATAGACATATATCTGAGAAGCTCTATCTGAATGCTAGAGGCCTATTAAAAACAGAATGAGAAAACGTGTAGTTAAATATAACGATAACCTAAACGTTTGTAGACGCATCGTATTTTTATTATATATTCCATATACAAAAAATGTCAGCTGACACAGCTACAGTAGCTAAAAGTACCGCTGCTCCCGTTGTCGGTTCTCAACCCTCTGTTCAACGATGGGAGCGTGATTTTTCTCAAACAAAAACAGATGATATTCTATTCGATTATATTGTCGTTGGTTCAGGAAGCGCTGGATCGGTGTTGGCTAATCGCCTGAGTGAAAACAATGAGAAACAAGTGCTGTTAATTGAAGCAGGCGGAGTTGATACCAAGGATGAAATACACATGCCAATTGCATGGTATGAAGTATTCATTTCTATCTTATCTTTTTTGGCTTCTAGGTGGATTGTCTCTTTTCCTTTACAGAATGTTCTTTGGTAATGCTCGCTCCAACATTTAAGCGTGAGATTTCGTCGAAGTATGCTCATAGTCGATATTCCTGTAGTTAGATTCGAGGTGGGACGTTTCTTGTCAGTAAGAATAGTTGTGATTATAAAAGAGAGGGAGTTAATTTCAGAGCAGTTCCAGTATGTTGCTCTGCAGTTTTATCCAGTAACCTTTGTTGTTTTAGCGGTAATTGTCAACGAAATGAAATCGACTGGCAATTTAAAACCGTTCCCCAAACCCATTCTCACTTGGGTACTATTAATCAGCAAGGTAATTGGCCCCGAGGTAAAGTCTTGGGTGGTTGTTCGTCAATAAATTATATGCAATATGTTCGTGGTGAGCCAAATGATTACGACAGCTGGCAGCTGCCTGGTTGGACATTCCAAGATATGTTACCTTATTTTAAAAAACTGGAACGAGCTGATGAAAATACTATACCCAGAAGTTCATTTCGAAATCATGGTGATGAATCTAAAGGAATGATGGATGTGTCAAAGATGAAAGATTTTAACCAAACGAGTCAAATGTTTATTAAAGCTTGTACGAAAAATGGCATGGTAGAAAGTAAAGATTATAATGCAGAGAAGAATTTGACTGGATGTGTGAGCTTCTCACAGGTATCAACACAGAATGGAAAACGATGGTCTGTTGCATCTGGGTATCTATTATCGGCAGTGAAACGACCGAATTTACATATACTCATACATGCACACACATGTCGGGTTACATTTGATGATCAGAAACAGGCTAATGGTCAGTAAAGAAAGCTTCTTCATTTTTTGATTATATGAAAATATCCTATCAGAGTCAGAAGAATAAGATTTTGTACTCTTTCTTATGTAACAGATATTCCACTTATTTTTTAACCTAAAGTGTCGCCCTAGACAAAATCCTATGCACTTCTTATCTGTTTCAGAGTTACAAAGGCAAAACTTGGTAATGTTTGGTCATACTGAGGTTGTTCATATATTGCGAGAGCGTATTTTGACACTGATTCAGTCATAGCATTTTCTTGTTAGGATCTGAATAGAATCCTGACATAACCCTAGCAAATCCTGCGACTTTCTGGTATACCTGATTTCTTTAGAATTCTGTAAGATTTTCCTACGATTCTACCAAATACCAAGCTAGATCCTAATATGATTCTGCCAGGGTTTCCCAAGGATCCTATCAGAAAATGTATAGGTTTCTGTACTAGTGTACTGTTTTTTTTTACAAATAGAGAACAGCTAAATGCGACTATAAGTTCTTCACCTCAAACGGGATACGTATAAGCTTGTAGAGGAAGACTTGCTATATCCAACGGTATATGTATTGTCGAATCCTAATGTGCATCGTCATAGAAAAGTAAAGGTAGTCTCCTTATTTTTTAGACGTTTTTAGAAATTTTTTTTAATTTTGAATTAAATGTGGTGCATTATAGAGTACAGTGTCCTCTACAAAATCAGACCACTCTCACGTCAGCTCTCCAATGTCTTCCATTGAGAAACTACAAACTTTTAAAATGTGTTACTTTACGCTGAAAAAACTCTACTGTTTTCTACTCTCGAACTTTTCTGTCTTCCATTCAGAACTTAATAAACGCTTCAAACTGTCAGTCTTGTAAAGTAAAGGCTTTTCTACAAAATGAGAGGTCTCCCAGCTCTCTGCTAAGTTTCCTGATAGAGTTATGATCATTTTACTCGAAGTCGTTCACATTGCTTTACTCCACAAGACTGACCATTTGAAACGTTTATCAAGTACTGAATGGACGAGAAAAAAGTTTCGAAAGTAAAAAGAAGTAGGGCTTTTTCAGCGCAAAGTAACACATTTTAAAAAGTTTGTATCTTCTCAATGGAGGGCTTTTGTAGAGCTGACATGAGAGTAGTCTGATTTTGTAGAGGACACTGTACTCTATAATGCACAACATTTTACTCAAAATTAAAAAAAATATCCAGAAACGTCTAAAAGAAGACGGGTTACCTTTAATTTCCTCTGATGGTGCACATTAGGATTCGACAATATACACGGCGCTGGATGGAACAAGTCTTCCTCTACAAGCTCATGCATATCCCGTTTTAGAATTAAAAATCACCCAAAAAGAAGGAGAGCCATTAAGTGGCATTTTCGTCCTAAAACATTTCGCTATAAATCATACATATTTGGAATCCGCATCAAATTCTGAGTCAGACAACGTATTTTTCAAAATTTTTGGACAAAAAAAATTTTCGCTTATCCCTGAGGGGCCCTTGCCGTGATGTTTTGGGCAAAAAATATTTCAAATTTGAAAGTTCTGAAAGCGCTATCTTGTTCAGAATTTGATGCTGATTCCAAATATGTATGATTTATAGCGAAATGTTTTAGGACGAAAATGCCACTTAATGACCCTCCTCCTTTATAGTCGCTGTTGGATTAATAAACATTTCTGAGGGTTCTGTAATTTTAAGTATTTCACCTTTTGAGCAAGATCTTATTCAAGCATTCTATTTTATAGAAAGCGAAAGAGACAAATACGTCGTCCTTTACATTGTACCATTGTATATGGATGAAAAGTTTTCAAAGGAATATTCTGAAAGGGCACAAAGTTTGATTCTTTACCGCTTTTTTTAACTCACCAAACACGTTCCAGTGGTAAAAAAAGAACCGTTTGTATCATTCATTTTAGGTGTAATCATTAAACGAGATAATTCAGAAAAGGAAGAACATATTAAAGGCAAGGAAATCATTTTATCAGCTGGTACCGTAGGTAGTGCACAGATTTTGCTGTTATCTGGAATCGGACCAAGAGAAGAACTGGAAAAACACAATATTCCAGTGATTGTCGATCTACAAGGAGTTGGGAAAAATTTACAAGACCATTTAATGACACCATTGTTTTATCTTTGTACGATACCGACATTGTCCTTTGAAGATTTGAATGATAAAAATCTAAAACTATGGGCAGAACAAGGTCGTGGCTCATTGGCTTCATGTGTGGTTGAAGCTCAGGGATGGTGTCAAGTTGGAGAAAAAAAGTCAGGAGGTAAGCAAGGACGATTGGGATTGAACGGAAGGACTGGTAATGACTTGTAAAAGTCTAATATGTTGAATGTTATTGAAAATAGTTTGTAAAGTTTCCCTGGAAAGTTCTTGCATCCGTTTGTAAATCACTTAGTTTTACCGAGAAATATCCAATACATGACCGACTTAGGAGACTTTCTGGAGTATTTGTTAATACATACTGTCTATTGCAAAACAGAATGCACTCGGTTGTTTGTTGAATAACTCGGTAACGCTGACAGGTGTCGAGTTTAAGTTTCTACCGTTCGAAAGAGGATGAAGAAAACCGTATAAGACTAATGTCTTTACTCTACCTTTATGTAAAAGGATGCCTTTCAAGAGTCCTTCGAGCGTTTCACCTGCATCGGATACAAACTGATTGAATTGGGGTAACCCCATTGGAAGCCAGATAGCATCTAAAAGCTGGCTGCCTTGCAGATCTTCGCTTATTGGCGTTGGCTCAACTCCAAGAAGAGAACAAACTATGCCAAGCAATTCAGAGTGATCGAAAATTTATAAATCCATGATTTTAGCTCATACACTGGGTTGGGAACCGTGGTTCCGAAGTAAAGACCTGCTTTCCACAGTCTTAGTAAGCCAAAGCTAGCACATTCATGGAAGGCCAGCAAAATGTGAAAATTTCATGGTTTATAAAGTGGACATTGATATACAATATGATTAAAAGGAAATTAAGGATACGTATGATCATTACGTGATTGTATGTGAAAATCACTCTGAAAGTTTCTCGATCGATCTAGTGATTCAAGCTAGCACTGACTGTGTTTAGTTGAAATATTTTCAACTGTTTGACGTAAGTAGATAGTAGTAATTCCCAATGCTTGTCATAAAACAACAGATCCTCATTCTTCGGCTTAATCGTCTAATATTGGAGATTAACCCTTGACAGCTGTCTGGGGGTCCAGTTCGACCCACTGCGCAGTTCTTTTTTCATGCACGCCAGAATTCATCTCTTCGAACTGCTTTCTTTCCTAATCGTCAATCTTCTATCCATGCATACTACCTATATCAAGTCTCGTGAATGAGTCTTACAACAAAAACTGGAGTGTGGATCCGCTCGGACCCGATAACAACCATGATGTTATATTTACGATTTCCAGCCGTGTTAGAGCTGTCCTCTGTCGTCGTTTTGGGCGGGTAAACATTTTGTAGAAAAATCTTAACTCTACCAAAACGACGACAGACGACAGCTCTAACATGGCTGTATTCGTAAGATTATTGGTTTGGGTCCTTTTGGTCAGTATGCATAATAGATTTAAGTTAACAATAATCTAACAAATATAGACCGACAGAATAAACAATACTGTTTGTGGAAAGAAATACCTGACATGTGTTTACATCATGCGTAGAAAAGAGAAACTAACTTGTTAAATTCAGAAACGTTCATGTAAGGAGGTTAATTCCCAATCAATTTCTTGACTAAGGCTTTGATTCCGGAGAATGGGACCTGAGCTTTACCATTAAGTCAATTTTCATAAAAGATTGGCCTCCAGATAGAAGAGTTTTGGACAACAGTCTCATATTTAAACTGTCAAAGATTTATCCTTTGAGGCTTCTTCCTTCTACTTTCTGAAGAAAACCGTATAAGACTAAGGACAACCGCGTCTAGCCTCATTGTTTTTTAATAAAACACTTTTCTAGCACATTATCGATGGTACGAATTACTATTCTGATATTGGTTTTGCTTAATTCAGTTATAAGTCAGGCACCCGGATATTACTAAAAAGTGCAGACTTCAAACTTAAAAAAATTCGTAATAGGTCGTTTTGTAGATCAAACAAACTAGGTATAGTTCATTAACAGACTTAACCTCTCTTTTAGATACCAATACCAATCAATCACCTGATATTCAAATTCATTTTTGTCCGTTAAGTGCTGACGAAGATTTATTGAAAAATTTCAATTATAAACCGGAAATATACCAGCAACATGTTAAAAAATACATGAAAATTTATCCAAAAACGGGAGGTCAATATTGGCTGACTGTTTGCATCCCCACACTTCTCCATCCAAAATCGCATGGTGAAATAACACTGGCGAGCAATGACCCATTCCAACATCCTTTAATCGATCCAAAGTATTTAACCGAACAAGAAGATGTTGAAACGCTGGTTGGGGGGTGTAAACTTGTCGAAAAAATATATCAGACAGAACCATTGAAATCTGTTAGCGAATCATCACTCATTCGTGAAATGAATGAAATAGATGTTGAGATAGATCAAAATGAAAGATGGGACTCATATATACGAAAATTTAGTGTCACTGTCTATCATCCAGTTGGAACATGTAAAATGGGCAGTGAACAAGATTCGACAACAGTTGTAACGCCAGACACACGTGTTAAAGGTGTCCAAGGTTTGAGAGTTGTTGATGCAAGTATCTTACCAAAGATAATATCTGGAAATACGAATATACCAGTCATAGCCATGGCTGAGCGCGCTGCTGATTTAATTAAAAATGGAAGTAAACAGCTCTAAGATCATCTTTTGCGAGAACAAACGTGTACAAGTTTTCGCAAAAAACTAACTTTGTTATGACGTTCAATTTTTTAGATGTAATGTTAGAACAATTTTAAAAACACCAGTTAAAAACCGATGTTAGGGCTTCCACGAAATTGCCATAAGTCGCCTATAAAGAATTACTCAGAGTTGCGGAACCTCTTACTTTATACATGTCTCGACTTTAAAAATATGTACCCCAGTTCAATTTTTTATTGTTTGGCATACGGCGAGACGAGATACATCATTCTCTTATTTTTGTATTATGAGACAGGACTGTGTTTTGGTCATAGCGATCTTTTTCATTTTTCTTTTCAAACTAATGTCAATAGTAACGGTGAAGCAGATGCTCAGGCGGTCTCAACAACCGTATGTCAGGTGTCCTCCGATGAACTTTCAAAAACATATGTCTCGGTCTTAATCCAAACGTAACTGCTACTGAAAGACACTTTCTGTTCGTTTAAATACGCCGATTTTTCTTTTCGTGCCTACTTTAAATAAAAAAAGAAATTCTCAGATCAATCCATTTGGATACTGACGATGTTTTTATACAGAGCAGGTGGGACAACAGTTTTTGAGGACCACGTTTTGCAATAGATCTTTTTTAAAATCGAAAGAGATTTAGCAAAATCAAGTCTATAGATCGATAAAGCTCATAAAATTCTATGCAGAACAGAAATAAAATGTTTAATTTTGTCGTTCCGTGATCTGAAAACTTTGCTCTTAATAAAAAGAACTAGTAAAAGAAAGAACTACTGGAAAAACGAGCAATAGTGAACGAAAAAACAAAGTGTTTTGCTCACTGCACCTGAATGATTCAAGCTAAAACCGAAATCTTAGCAATAGACATAGAGTCAAATGTCTACAAAATGGCATGTGACTTAACGAATTTCACGCTGTGTGGGCGGAGAACGGGGATAGATCATGAATGTAAGTAGAGCGGTACAGTCATCACCAGAATCGCTCCGCGGCCAAGTTGAAATCGCCCAACTCGTGCCCCGATCGTTAAAAAGTCGCTGTTGTCGCGGCGCGATGGCGATAAACTCTTACTTTTTGAAAATTTGTAATTCGCGATTGCGGCGCGAGTTGGCGATTCAAGCGTGTTCATGTAAGAGAAAAGTGTCAGGTGGCGATCACACTTTTCTCTTACAATCGTGATATGATGTAAGATCGCGGCGCGACTCCCGTGCAAATCCTATTCACCGTTTCGTTTTGTTTATAAACCTGGTATATAATCCTCACTGATTTTTCGAAAGTTTACGACATGACTAATATAGTCTCGCGTAGCAGCGTCGCGCGTACACTATTCGTCTGCGTTCACAGTGAAAGTAGCGCGACTCATTTACTGATATTCATCGGAAAACGCGAATGAACAGTAGCTATAGTAAAACACTTGAAAGCCATCGATTTTTGTATGACCGCGAAAAAATTGAATCTTATTTCGCGAGTCTTATAGCGAACGCGTTTAGCGAACCTACCGCGAATTTTTAAAGAGACTCGCCCCGCGACATACGATAAAAAAGTGGACTTGGGAAGTTCAATCGGAAACTTAGCAATTAGTAGATAGCGAGAATCAGGGTAAAGAAATAAATCGACACTCCGTTTATTAGCCTTGAATCGCCGACTACCTTGGACAAACAATCAGCATTAAATAGAACAGTATATTCAATGCCACTAGTTATTTATTTTGAGGAACTTCAACTAAAAGCATCAACAGTCAGAAGTAAATAGAGAGCTTCGGATTTCGTTTATCGACTGATTGATTGATTACTGAAGAGTGAATGCCCTACCCAAAAGCTCTCACTTCTGATCATCCTACAAGTACGCACAATACGAAAACGTCTTCTTTTCACCTCTCACTTGCTTTGCATTTCATCTCAAGTATTCTATGGTAATACATTAGGTTCAATTGTAAGTTATAATCCGCGAAGAAAAATTAAACATAACAGCTATATATATTTTAGTATTATCTATTTATTTTAATATAGACTTAACTAACGAGTTTGTTTAGAAAGAGTCATGTGAAAGGACCATTTTCAAATGCGTGTTTCGATAAAAAACATTTTTCCGAAAAGCTTTTGCCTTTGAAAATATTTCAGATTAGTCACTCTGTTTAATATTGTACGGGTTACATTTTGAAGAAAACACTTAATACTCCAACGTGAAATATCAAAAACTATAACGGATCTCTAGGAGGAATCGAGAAAATCTTCAAAAAGCGTAATTTGTTGGAATTTTCTAGAGTTCGCCAGAAGATAGTCCATTTAATTTTGAAGGGCAGGAAACGTCCCGCAACTCTGTACGACATTGTTGAGATAAGCGACGCTTATGAGGAGACTGTCCAAAAAAACTGTCCTCAGTTAATCTGTTCGGGACATTTTGTAAAAGCGGCCTACTCAGCTGTAAACAACTGTTTCATTTGACATTAAACAGTTTTTTACCTTACTGTGCTTTTGCGTTCCTTTTCTCATTTTCTTATCGACATAATGACGACTGCATCAACAATCAAGGATAAGAAAGAGACAACTTATCACTATCAGTTACACGAACACGTGACGAGGCACAAATGTCGAATGGTGTTTGCATCCTTTGGAACGTGGTTTTTTCGGTTCTTTAAGAGAAAAAACATATTGTTAGACAATGATTGAAGAACTGAAAAGAAAGAAAGAGATGAAAATATTGTAAATGTGTTAGTATCGTACACGTGCATATTTTTAATGGCGTGTTAATTCATCTTGTTAGCCTATTAAATGGAAAAGATGTCGTATCGATGGCTCAAAGATTTGATAAGCCAAATAGATGAAGTAAGGGGTAATTTTTGTTCGCATTGAAACAGCTATTGAGCTCGTCATCTATTCTAGGTAATGGCTGATGTCGGCGACACCATCATTCTTCCAACCAGAACAAAGGTATTCAAATAAACACCATGAACTCCTATTTTATGTCATGTACACTCTAACAGAAAGTGTATTTTATAAAACCCAAAAAGGGTATCTGCATTTGCTACCAATAATAATCAATTTTCATATCTTAGAACACTGTTTTTGGTTTTTTAGGTTACGTTTAGGGGTATTTCTTGCTCACGTGTGAACGACATAACGAAAAGTCTTCTGTGTTTGTCCGCGGATGGCATAGGACAAAGGTAGTTTCAGAGTATAGCAGTATTCTAGTAGCGTCTTTTATACTCTTAAAATTAACTTGTAAAGTGAGAAATTCTGCAACTTTTTCCAGTATAAAACGCGTGACTTTGTATCTTGAGTTTAAGAGCAAAATACCGATAATATGGATTTTCTACATAAGTCAGTTGAGGGCTTTCTTTCTCATAAAAAGAATAATTATTTAGCACAAGTAGTATCAGATTGTACAGTGTAAAAATCTGCATCTTTTGACGTTAACATGATTATCCGAAAATGGAACAGAGAGATCGGCAACGCTTCGCGAAAGAAGTTAAGTTTACTCTGTACCGTTTACAAAATTAAAATATTTGAATATCGCTAATATTCTACTGAAATGGTTTCAAAACAAAACGGTCGTTTTCTAGAGAATGAAATTTTCTATCATTTGAGCTAAATATTAAATTTTTAGACGCAAGTTAATATGGATAAAAATTCAATAGAAAAGTGCTTCAGGCCTTCGGACCCACCCACGATGTTCATTTTACTGTACAACAGGCGGACATATGCTACAGAAGTTTTACGAAAGTCTGTAAACACTTTTTTATAGGTTTTCAGTACCTAAAATTAATTTCCTATGAGTTTTCCAGAGACCTGGTTCCGAGAGAACTCACAATAAATACTTTTGCATTTTGAAAACCTCACCCATTCAAAGAGCGAAAACGTATAAAAAAGTGTTTATAGACTTTCCCACTATCGCTATAACAAATATTCAGATTCCCAGGCAAAATGTACTGAGGGGGGCTTTTAACTCTATAATCCAGTTTCATCGAATACTTTTCCACAGAAAATTAAGAAGTTATACATCATTCTATGCATTTTTTTGGGTTGATTCCGAATATATCATTTCTATTGAATAAAAACGTTTTTGAACCGAGAATAATGGAACATATCTGAAATATTAAGGGTTTTTGGAAAACCTGCCGTACACTTCGGAAACATTTACACATTAGCCACATATGTAAGGCATATAGAGGAACGTTTTGGCAAAGTTTGAACGAGTTTCGAGCTGGGATGTAGAGGGAGCACCCATTTTACTGAAACTAGTTGTTGGGAAAACCACTTACAAAAACTTTTATTTCTTTTGTCAAGGATCTCCAACTCAAACTAAGGTTTACTTTTACTGATATATGCTAAATGATCTGGAGATTCAGAATTTTCATTGCGTTAGCTTACCACGTTAGTCATTTTTATGTAAAATAAAGTTTCCTGCCCATGACATTATTTCAGGCTAATTTTAAATTAGGTGATTTTCCACTCCACTCGAACTTTGTAGCAAAAACATTAATGTCATTAAACAGCCATCAATAACCCGAATTCGAAGCATATATAGCACTATTTGAATCGTATAAAAGTCGGTTTTCACTTTTTCATCTAATATCCGCCAGGATGCACACTGTATGTGTTTTGCGTCTTATACACCGTAAAAAATAAAGTGTGCGCATTCTCCCAAGTGTCTATTTCGAGTCCAAAATGATGTGCAAATCGTCACTGTGTAATCTGAATTTTTATCTTGCGTTTCTGTATCGAAAAAAACAGAAGAATTATTCTTCTCTTCGGTCTTTTTTCTCGTTCTGTCTGTGGAAGCTATATATGAATTCCTGTCTGTTACAGGCACATTGAACAAGCCGTTTTCAGTGTGCAAAAACAGTCCAAGGTGATGTGCACTTTCACTGTGGTCCAGGCACACTTTATTGAATGTGCAGGAATAAATCCAAGATTTCTAAAACAAACTAGTTCGGAAACATATACCGGTAAACCTCACGGTTCCAGGAAAAACAACTTTAATATAGTACAAAACCTAAA